TGCCTTTAAGACATTTTAATGCTAATTAAGGCCTTATTTTTACATTATGGAATTTAAGACTTTTTAAGGATCCGTGGACACCCTGTAGAAGCTCCGCCCAAAAAGCCTCGTCTCAAGCATATCCTAATTAAATGAACGTGACTGGACAACTTTTTGCCGTGGGAGTTTTAGTTTTGCTGGTGGATAAACGTGAGTCAGTCACATCTGGCGCAGCAGTTCATCCAGTACCTGTGCGATTGTCTGCAGCTCTCCAGCTCAGTCCTCAGTTTCTTCACATCAGCCGTCAGGCTGCTTTTGTCCAGAGCCAGACTCCTGTTCTCCTCCTGTAGACTCGACATCTTTAAAAGCAGCTGCTCCTTTTCACTCTGACTTCTGCTCTCTTGCTCCTCCAGCTGTCTAAGAGTCAGGAGCAGAATTCACATCAGAAGTTTCCATGATATGACCAACTGCTTTCCTTGTTTAGATTTTGCCTAAATAAGATGTTGATGCAAACGGAGCACATAAAGTTGCTAATCGAAGCTTTACTAATCCTCCGGGTTTGTTTCAAAGAACTAGTATTTGTGATGAGTTTGCAGCAGTGCAGCTTTTCTCCCTAAATGACTCTCCTTCGTATTAAATAATTCATCAACCTGCTGGTCTCTGTAGTAATTAAAACCGTAGGTTTTTAGGGATTTCTCTTGTTGCAGTTTTAATCGCACCTTGTTTTTCTGTACCAAATCAATTATTAAGAGAAACATTAAAACGAACAAAGCCCTGGACTGTTTTACAAGTGAGAACATGTGTTGCTAGAGTCAACAACAAAAGGCCCTCCGTCAGAAGAATGGAACAGATCCGTTTAATTCTAATGCCTTTGTCCTATAAATATAAAGTAATGTCGGCTGTGGAAGTACCTTCTGAGTTTCCCAGTGATGCTACAGTGCTCATCCCAAGTCACGGCATCTTTCAGACGAGCCCGCTGGAGATGAACCTCTTTCTTTTGTTTCTGTAAGTCCCGTCTGCTCTCCTCCAGCTCCTCCTGCAAACGCTCCTTCTCGTCCTCCAACATCATAAGCTGCTTGGACAGTTTTGATACTTCAAAGAAAAGCAGAAGGACAAAGCAAAGCATTGAATCAACTACTACAGCAAAAGCTTCTTCAGTTTGGACACCTGAGTGAAGTTGGCCCCCCCCACCTTCTTCAAATCAGACAAAATTAGTATCAAACGTTTGTGCTACGTTTGTGCAGCAAAAATTTTCGTTTGTGCTGCTTTGGATTTGAAGATTTAAAGAAAGTAGGGGAGCTGGTTGACCTTT